AAATTTTTCGAAAATTCACTACCATACCATACAATTTTTTGTAAATAATTAAAACAATTTAAGATTTCATGGTTTTCCTTTCATTTAATTTATCAAGTTTGTTAGAGAGATTTCATCCATAAACTTAACACCAACGATCGATGGAATAAAAATACAGGGTGTAATTTTTAACAAATTTTAGTTGGTTCGATTCCCGGGTTGGCATTCAAATTTTTGGAAATCTTTGAATGCAATTCTATTTCTTTTCAAAAATAAAGGAATGTTTTCTTTGAGTAAAATTTTCTATCTACATTATTAAGAGTACTTTCCCTCCAGGTGGCATTACAAAATTCCACCCTGTATATGCTCTGTCACGTCATATCAATGTCACCCCTCCCGTGCCGCTCCCATGCCTCAGGCACTGACTCAATTTAGCGCTATATCTATAAAAAAAACCTATGATTTTGTGAAATAATAAGAGTTGTATCACACACGCCAAAATAAAGATACAAGTATAGCCTCAATTATAATATGACACGCGTTTTAGTGATGTCCTTTAAATATCGATAAACCGGTTTAAAAACCGTTTTTTTGTCGACTGTAACTTCTTTAGTCAAAAAAGGCTAGAAAAAAAACAAGTATTCTTGATATTAAAGAAAAAAAAATTGGCAAGCTGTATAATATTAATGATTAAAAATATGCATTATGTCAACTGGGACTCAAATATTTAGTATGAATTGACTAAAGAGCCTAATATACAAACAGCTTTATAGATTTTACTCGATAATACGTCTCAGTAAAATAAAATATGGTATATTTTCAAAACATAATATTCTTTGATTTTTATACATTGATTTATATGAATTTTTAAATAAATTTTCTGACAATTGATTGACAGTATGATCTGAAAAAAATAATAATACTTTTGTGATATAATAAAAAAACGAAATTGCACATATTTATCGAAATTTTCAGGACACGTTTACAAATTAACGAAAAATCCATACATACATTCTCATTTCCATCAATCCAATTTATTACCTAATAATTCCGAAAATCTACCACGCCTACTCACGAGAGAATTTTTAAAATTCTAGTACATTTAATTAGTTAAATTTTATCGCTGCCTCGTTCGTTTTTTGTTAATTTAATTTAATATCATCGTTAAGTCTTTATATTAAATGCTAATTTGAACTGACTGCAACGGGTACATGAGTGAATTTTGAGATTCACGTTTTTTAACACTTGACAATGTGTAAAATATTATTAACAGTGTAGAAGCGACACCAAAAGCGCGCTATTTATTTGTCGCTATATTTCGAAAACGAAAATATGTTGGTAGTCACATTTCAGCCTTTCAGAAAGTTTGTGGTCAGCAGATTTTTAGCCAAAAAAATCAAAGATTAATCCCCTTTTTTCCATAGAATAAATATCATATTTAACTATTTGTAAAGGAATTAGGTATAAATAAGTCAGCTTTTTATATTGATTACAGTTGTATTGAAAAAATCTGCTATCTATTAGATATCTGAATCTGAAAGACTGATTGACAGAACGTTTTTCCTCAAACGTATTTAGCACGTACCAAATTGAAAGTCACAGTCAGACACATTATACGTATATCGTCAATAATTATATCCATATATCGTACATTTAATTAATTACGTTGCTAATGTCATTTTTACAAAATAAAAATACAGAAGCATTTAGGCGCATTATTCTTAAATAGATATTTTAAGCATTTCACCAGAATTTGAAAATTGAAAACTCAAAGTCGCAGGTTCGACTGCCTCCAGAACTTCTAGGTGTTTTCCATGTATGATATTTGCAATAATATTTAAGTTCATATGTTGTAACTCCATAGTACAAGTTTTGCTTAGTTTGGGACTAGATGACGCTGTGTAAAATGTCCAATAACTTTTTGTATAACAAGACAAGATAGATAGATAGAACATATTCTATTGTACATCACATAAGAAAAGAAAGAGAAAGAAATATACAAAAGATACGACACAGTTTAGGCGGTTTTATCGCTATAAAACAATCTCTTGCAGGCAACCTAGAGAACTGTCGTTAACAATGTTTTAGTTTATAAAAAAAAACTGCTTAAAATATCTATTTTACGCACCTTAAGATCAAAAAACACATAAAAATACAACCGAATACTTATCTTTCTCGCTTTTTTAGAAAGAGATATCTCTAGTCAAGTATCTACACGCAAACATACTAAATGATACAAAGCACGATACATATAAAGCCCGGTCTGTGAGCACGTAGAATTTTGTCCAATGACCCCAAGCTACCCATCCTTATCGCTCGCGCGTAATTATATTGCTGTCGCGACTGTGCGACGGGCGCCCGCAATGAGTGTGCGAGCGCGACAGCAACATAATTACGCGCGAGCGATAAGGATGGGTAGCTTGGGGTCATTGGACAAAATTCTACGTGCTCACAGACCAGACTATATCAATAAATTGGTGTTGTTCGTTTGTTACACTACACTTATGTACAGTTTAACGCGATGGATCGCTAAGTCTTTGTAAAACGGAAAGAGTTACTTCAGTCTACTATTTACTAAGTTATATTTGACACATGGTTTAAAAATAACACGTTCAATGTTATCAACAGGTGGCAGCACTATCGATAAATTTTAGTCACCGGTTTTCTTGTCGATACTGCCGACATACATCACTAGAGCTGTCATAACACATTCGATGTTATAGGTGGCAGCACTATCGATAAATTTAAGTTACCGGTTCTGTTGTCGATACTGCCAACATACATCACTAGAGCTGTCCTTTTTTTTGATGAAAAAGAGTTCCAACGAAAATTTCAATTTTTGTCACTAATTCCTTCGATAAACTATTGAATGTAGTTTTTATTACAGTATCATTTGTAGTCTCCAGTATATAATAAACTACAGCAATATAAGACTATTTATATAAATACGAGTATGCAGGCTTTGTTGTATATAAAAATAATACAAATATAGATCGATTGCACTTGAAACATTTTGAAACTTGTAAAATCATATAAAAAAGACTAAATATAGCAAACACATACACGAAACATGAAACGGTGCTGATATTTTGTTCCATTCACCTTAAAGTGGATATACATTAGAGCATTTCCTTGTAACAGAAAATTTTTAACGAACCAAACATTTAGTGCGACACTCGATTTTGTACAAAACTGTGATATAAAAAATCCAATCCTTTTTTAAACTAAAGAATATCCACGTATTAGAGCGCTTGTAGACGTCCGTTTTTTTCACCGGATAACGGACCGTGTTTTTTGCCGGATCTAGCAGTGGCGTATGGTTTATAATGAACGTGTGCACATGCATCGGACATGGGTCCGGCGAGAAAATTGACAGCAAACAAAGGATATCCGTTTTTTGACGGTCCGTCGTCCGGTGAAAAAACGGACGTCTACAAGCGCTCTTACGCTTTACTTTAAATTTAAAACAAACCACATTTTTATGATTTGTTAAACGAGAGAAACAAAACTAATTAGTTCAATATAGCCAACGCTCTTTTTCATGACTTCTACTAGTACCATTCTTAAAAACATTACAATAAAGCTCGTGAAAATGCTGTAATCTATATTCACCTTTAAAAAGAGTAAGCGAGAGAAAAAATATCAAACGCACCACAAAATCATCCCAAAAACAATTCCTATTTTCTACAAACGACAAAAAACCTTAATTTAGACTTTGTTCGGCTTGAGATCAGATTATAATATGTAAAATTGTACTATTTTTAATCCAAAAATGCAGAACGAAATGTATTATTTTTAATAACGTAATTAATACTGTGTTTTATTTATTTATTTGCACCAATATACATCCTATTTAGCATAAAACATTATTTATTTCTATTTTTTTATTGTTTTTGAAAATAAATGTCAAATTCTTCGATTTAAATAAAGTAGCTACGTAGCAAAAAAGGCAAAAAACTATCTTATTATAATTTAGTTTACGCTTTATTAAAAATAAGTTTATATTTTGTTTATTTTCCACACTTTTAATGTGTGCAACATTAAAAGTTAACACACTTAACACACAAGTATCTTATCTCACTCACTCATAGCATAATCAATATCTCTCTCATTCGCACATACGTATTAATAGTTTTCCTTTTATTTATTTCCTAGTTTGTTGTGGCTTTATATTCTTCTTCTCACATATGTTCAATGAGAAATTATTTCATATTTTTTGAGAATCCTTTAAGTATGGGAAATATCATACATTTTGACAGTTTATGTGAAAAACAAAACATCAAAACATCAATTTTATTTTTCAAATAAAAGTAAACTGCGATTGAGTAAACCATAGGAATAATAGGTAATGTTACTAACAAAAGTACTTTTTTATACTTGAGAAACGTTATATTTTTAACTTCTTTCTTTTATTTCTTTCTTTCACACATTACCATCTGTTGCCGTCTTATTGTTACTCCTACTGACTTACAAGCTTTTACTTAAAAACGACTCTCAAAACTGGACTCAAACCCAAGTTAAGTTTCAACTTTGAAGCTTGTGATTGCTTGAATTTCCTTAATAGGGAATATGCATGGATTACAAAAGTTAATACATTATGTATAAATAATTACTTTAGTGAAATCATAGAATTTCTGAAAGACTAGTATTGAAATCAGACTGGAACCAAAAGAGTTACAAGTGTTTAAACTTTGTATGGAAACAGCTGACCGTGACGTCAAATGTCACGCGCCCATAGTAACTTGTATGGGACTCTGCGTGTCGTTCTAACATGACGTCATTGGTCATGAGATCTCTAACGTCTATATCTTGGGTATCTTTTGAAATGTTTGTTAAAGAAAAGCACGTGATTGATTTGATAATGCCAAGGCTACTGTTATGTGAGAAATAAAAAAAACCTTGCATATTCCCTATTGCGCTCACCAGGTAGCGCCACTGGAGAGTAACGTCCGTATTCGCAAACATTACTATGAGGTCTCACAGTGCGCGTGGACGCACAAGCTGACGACACGAACCAATCACAGAGCTCTATACAACGCTGTGAGTTCGATTTCCTGCTTCACTTGAGCAAGCATCGTTTGTGAATACGGGCGTAAGGTCCTGTTATTGTAGCCTAATTCACGTAATAAAACTTCAAGGACAACAAAACACTAAGTTGCGATTCTATCGAGTGATCGTTCTATCAAATGACCCTTGTGAATACGGATTCAGAACTGCTTTTCAATGGGACGACGTAACAAAACGTCAATGACAACAAATTGCTACGTTACGATCTTATCGAGTAATCGTTCTATCAAAATGACCCTTGTGAATACGGATTTAGAACTGTTTTTCAATGGGGCGACTTTTGAACGTCAGCGAGATCTTGACTGTCAAAATACGTGAATTAGGCCACAGTTGGCGCCACTGTCTTAATCACAAGCAAATGACAAGACCTTAATTTCGAACGCCTCCTATGTTCTTCTGATTAATTTCGTTGCGGGTCCAATGACAGTTTAACTTTCCCCCGGGACAAACTTGACCTTCACTGGTTGGGTTATTGGCGGTCAAGCTGTAGATCCTGGATACACAGGAGTTGCAGCGGTGGGAACGAGAGGTGGGAATAGTCCCGTAAGACCTTACTCACCACTGGAGCAAACTTGTAAGCACAGTTGAGGAAACCTGTATTGAGCGACGTTTTGATAGTATCTTCTAAGATTCTTGTCTCTTTCGCACACATTTACCGTCTACATTACACAGTATAATGTTAAATCTTACACTTACCTACTAGAACACTCAATCGTATTGCTATCCCCTTCGCACCTAAACATTTCCGTATTTAAATATGTTTTTTCTATTTTTACGCTAGCAATAAATGTTGTACAATGACGTCATAACGTTATATTTCTTTAGACTACTATGAAGGGATTTTATGTTTTTTTTAGTTTATAGTTATTGTTATTGAACATAAATGTATTATGATTTTATATTTGAAGTCACCAATGAAATTAAATAAATAAATAGTAAGTTAACATTTAAATTTCACATTTGAACTGATTCTTAGTTTAATATTCTATTAAATTAATCAGAATCGATTTGATCTTATAGCCATCTCTTTCACACGTAAGCTACAGTATCAGCTGCTTTCGTCACCCCAATAACTTTAGTTACAGCTGTCTCGCTCGCACCCGCGGTCAGCTCATAGTGGCGTCTCTTTCCGCCACTGGAAAGCGTTGGTCTTCACGGCCGGGTTCGCAGAGCTCGCGCTCGCGGCTAAAGCGACGCCCGTTCGGCGAATGTTCGCGGCTGCGCTGTCTGTTGAGGAAATATTTTCAAAATATTAAATAGTGAATGAGTTTCTTATATAGCTTCTTCTCAGCACTGGCCCATTTATTGTCCCGAAGCAGTGGTAGGGACAAAGTAATACTAGAGCGTGTGAAAGCGCTTTTTAAAAGCCTATTGGCAGAAAATCCACCCTCATAAAGGTAGCAGGAAGGCGCTGGACGCAGGCCGCTACCAACCGCGCGATGTGGAAATCATTGGGGGAGGCCTATGTTCAGCAGGGGACGTCCTGTGGCTGAAATGATGATGATGATTGGCAGAAAATTACTTTTATGACTTACCTAATCCATTTCGCACGTTGGCAACAAGTCTCATGGCTGGATTTGTTACGATGCCGTTCCGCTTGCTTTTGCTATAAAAAAAAGAGTAAAATTAAATAAGAAACTTTCAAATATGTATTCCAACTTTTATTGGAGCTGGTATAGAACTTATATACAACTTATTTACAGCGTTAGGTGTTATATTAAACTTAATTAATACCCATAACCATTAACAATTAAACAGGCAGTGGCAATAAAGAAGCAAAGAAGACATTATTTTTGCATTATAATTGTGCACCTTATTTCCTTGTCTTAAGGTCCTCCGAATTGGGAACATTTATTTTATTGAAGCCGTTAAAAAGCGTTTTGTGCGCGTGAGACTTCTGACACTGTGCGTATAGATCGTTTCATCCACTCGGCCGCGCCCCAGCAATGTTTGGTCCCGGTCGCGCGGGGTGCGGGGAGTTTGCTCCGAGCAATCATCCGCCTCTGTGGTCTAGTGGTAAGACCACCTGCTTCAGACGCAGAGGTCTCGGGTTCGATTCCCAGAGAGGGCAGATTTTTCTGTTCGGTTTGGTTGGTGGTAGGACTTGTTCCAAGTCCGCCTGGCTAGCTACCACCATCTTACCTGAGTCTGTCGCCATAACAACAATGTTAACAGCATTGTTGTGTTCCGGCAGTTAGAGGTAGATAGCCAGTTCTTCCGTGGTTGAGCATTCCGGGTGAAGCTCGTTTCCACCTTCAGCCTGATCATCACTTACCATCAGGTGAGATACAGGCCAAGAGCTTCCCCGTTGTGAATAAATAAAAAAAATAAAAAAATCCGAGTGGCATTATTGTAGTGTGCGTGTGCACTCATGGATAATTATCCAATGAGGGTTTCGCGATTGAAAAATCCGCCAGATGGCAATACGTAGACGGGAGGTCCAAATGCTGCATGATTGGTGGATTTTGACATATTTGTCAATGTCATGTCAAAAATAACCAATCATGCAGCATTTGGACTTCGCGTCTACGCATTGCCATCTGGCGGATTTTTCATTCGCGAAAACCCTTATTGCAACGCTATTATCACACACACACTACAATAATGACCCTTGGATTGTTGGGATCAATCTCCCGCACGCAACCCGCGCTTCCCTCGACCAAAAAGTGGAGGGGCGCGTCTTCGCGGATGAAACGATCTATAAGAGTAGGCGCACATCGTTGATTTTTCGTCGGCCGATAGTTTAGTCGGGCAGTTGATCAGTATGGGCATGTATGGGAGTGCGCACACTACGCCGATTCGATTTGGCCGATTCTTCATAGTACAATTTAAAATCGGGCACAACTATCGGCCAACTAAAAAACAACGGTGTGCGCCCACTCTAAAGGTACTGAGCACAAAGCATTATGTCCTAATGCCGTAACGCATACCATTAATAGAGTTAAGAACAACCACCAAGCGCGAGTTAGTTTGTTAAATTAGTTTTTAAACATATTAACTGCTAAATATGACGTAGCACACTTATCAACTCGGAAAGGGATCGTAACGGTATCAACTCGAGGCAGTCAGTGTTCTTTGTATGAAACTCCATACCGCAACGCACACTTATCCGCACCGTAACGTAAACGCCTCGCCTCGCGGTTGACAGCGCGCGAAAGGCGATACGGTGTTGATCCCTTTCCGAGTTGATAAGTCTGCTATGACCTTTATTATGTAATTCAGATCTTTAAAAAAAAACAAAAGAACAAAACTTGAAAAATATAAAATATCTTATAACTTTCGTTACAGGCGAGCTACTTTTTCTTCATTGGTTAAGAAATATTATGTAAAATTAATAGCAGTTAATATATTAAAAAGTTTACACTGTAACTATGTTAAAATGAAATGATTAGATAAAAAACCAGTGTTATTACTATTTACTAGAGATGGGCCGACTAGTCGCCGACTAGTCGAGAAAGCCGACTATTCGGCATCATTTGTAGTCGGCCGACTAGTGACGACTATTCGGCAAAATATGCCGATTATAATCGGCGCATTACTTGACAAAATTAAATGTGCGAATGAAATAACTCATAATNTTTTTTTGTTTCCTTATGCGCTTTATTTTTTTTTCATATTTTTTAGTAGAGCTACCTCCTCTATCAGTTTGATTCACCCATTCTGGGACACCCTGCATAATACTTTATAACTGAGCCTTTTTTAGCAGAACAAGGTAGATATTTGACTGCAATCGATCGAAGCAAATAAAGATATACTTATCACACTAGATGTTAAGTGAGATGCAGTCTAGGGTGGTACATACCAGCCCAATAAATGCCCTTTTATGAAAAGTAGTAAGAAATGGCCCTAGATATTTGATTTCAAATGAATCTTCACATAATCGTGAGCTAAGAATCAGAGACAATCGATTATAGTAGTGTAGGTAAATGTCGGACAGTATTTACGCATAAACGATACAGCAAACTTGAATACAAATAAATGTATTTTTGAATTGCATGAGTAGTCTCATAAGGTACCTTGAGGCTTTAGATTGGTTCAATATAAATATTTAAACCGATCATTTTACCCAATGTAAAACTTTAGAGTTGTTTTGTAAACCGGACCTTATTCACTAAGCTTTAAAGCTCATTCCAGTTTTGCCTTACCTGAGAGCCTGCTGTATGCGGTTCATCTCATGCGCCGGCGGCGGCAGCTTGCGCGAGCGCCGCGTTTGGAGGATGCAGAATATTATCATGCCCAGTAGAACGACAGCTGCGATGGCACAAGTCACCTGTGGAATGTAAAAGTATCTTTTAACATTGTAGTAAAACCAAGAGGTCCTAAATAGAAAAAAAATTTTCTTCGTTTATGGTGAGCGGCCATAGACATCACCACCTCATAGCCAAACTTAATGAGCTATATATCCGCTTTGCAAGAAGGGCGCTGAAGGGAAGTTGAACCTTAATTTCGAACTTCTCCCATGTTGAAACTTGACCTTCACTGGTTGGGTTTTTATTGACGGTCAATTTGTAGATTCTTTCTACACAGGAGTTGCAGCGGTGGGAACACAAGTTGGGAATAGTCCCTCGAGCCATATAATAGCCGTTTGAAAGGAATTAGTTGAACAGAAATTTTACATTTAGAAACTGCTTGTCATTTGAATTAACTTTTTAACTTTTGTGTACCTATACTAACTTACTAAAGCAGTATAGTCAAGGTTTGGGTCGGTTTTAATCATACTTTTTCCATATCGAAGTATACAGGGTGACTTTTGTATCAGTATCCAAATTTTTTTCAGACATTAGGTATCGTTTATAGATGTCATTTTTAATAAAAAATAGGTAGGTCAAGTTTTATCAAAATCATTTTTTTCCCTAACCAAATAATAACGTAGTGTGGTCACCGCGCTTAGCGCGTAAACATTTTGCGGGTCGGGCGGAGAGCTGGCAACAACGCTCGACCGGCCGGCCTGGCCGCGGCCGCGCGGTGCATCAATCAGTCGCCCGCGCAACCCATTACGTGACGAGCGTACCGCTGCGCGCGCCGACCGTTACGTCGCGGTCGCTAACGTAACGACGATGTATTCGCACCGCGAGTATTATGAAATGGTTCGGTGCTACATTTTAAGTGGAGAGAGTTTGAGCCGAGCCCAGAGACTCTACGAATCGGACAGTGTTCCTAGGCTTCGTAACCAAGGTCTAAATCCAACAGTGCCAAACCGTCGAACGATTTTAGGGGAAAATCAAAGACTTTTAGACCATGGTCAATTTACCACACCCGTACACGCACAAGGACGTGGCGGAACCTGGCTGCCGTTGGAAATCGAAGACCAAATCTTTGATTTCTTCGAGCGAGATCTGCGAGCAAGTACACGTGACGCAGCTCGTCGCTTCGGTGTAAGCCAATACGGTGTGTGGAAATTATTAAACGTAAGTGGGTTACACCCGTACTACTTCCAGAGAGTACAGTGCATAAATGAAGCGGACGCAGTCCCTCGTCGTGCTTTCTGTGAATGGCTGATCACACATCCCAGTGCCTCAATTTTGTGGACAGACGAAGCTATGTTCACACGCGTCGGACTGTACAATATCCACAATGAACATTGGTGGAGCTATCAGAATCCCCACGTCATTAGAGAGTGTCACCATCAAGTGCGGTTCAGTGCAAATGTGTGGGCCGGGATTGTCGGCAACCAAATACTGGGGCCGTATTTTATTGAAGGCCGATTAACCGGTGGTACCTATCTTGATATGCTGCGAAATGTGATTAGTGATTTTATGAACGATGTGCCCTTAGCAAACTACCGGGACTTTTACTATCAACAAGATGGTGCACCGCCGCATTACGCCGCCTCCGTACGTGACTACTTAAATACCGAATACGGCGATCACTGGATCGGTCGCGGGGGCCCGGTCGCCTGGCCTCCACGATCACCTGATCTCACTCCTTGTGACTTTTTTTTGTGGGGTGAGATTAAGCGGCGGGTTTACGTGGATGAAGCCCAAAGCCTTGAGGCACTCAAAAATCAAATAAGGTGTGCGTTTGATGCAGTGCGAAATGACACTGTAGTGTTAAATAAATTGAAAGAAAATGTGCAAAAGCGTGCAAGACTCTGTCTGGAGAGAAATGGTATGCATTTTGAACAATTATTAAAATACTCATAATTTATTGTGTTAGTTTGTAGTTAGGTTAGGTAGGTTTGGTAAGCAATCTCAATTATTGTACATAAAATGATGATTTTTTAAATTAATGTACATAAGTTGATGAACTTTTTAAATACGCCTGAATGCAAAAGAAAAGTAGTTACCGCTCTCGGTGATTTTATTTTGTTTTTGTTAGCGTAATTATTGTCGTAGGTATTTAATTTTTCTAACTTAAATTAGTAAGTCTGTTTAATTAAAACTAATTACCACTTTGAAATCTTTTGCATTTTGACGGTCCTAAGCCCGTGAAAGTATGAAGGGAAAATCGACAACTTATGAATCGTCTCGCAATGAATGAAACGCGGCGCGGGCAGGCGCGCTTACGTGTGTGCGTGCGTAAGCGAGTGAGCCGTGACCACGGTGTAAGTGTTTTTTCAGACTGTTTCTGGGTGCTTTATTTTGACATTTTTGTACTGGACGATACAAAAATAAAAAATACGTGTTTTGTCTTTCGCTGCATAGATTATTATATTCAAATTTGGATACTGATACAAAAGTCACCCTGTATAATTACGCGCGAGCGATAAGGATCAGCTTGGGGTCAATGGACAAAATTCTACGTGCTTAGCGAGCAGACTATTGTTAAAGAATAATTCAATACAAAATGACTAAACTAAATAAAACTAAACTAAAGCCACGATAGCCGAACGGTGAAGGGGTCGGACTGGCCGACTCGTGGTGATCCAAGGAACGCGGGTTCGGTCCCCGCCGCCGCTCGACTATTGTGGTGAGCTCACTCGTGACACAAGCATATTTAGCTTAGTACGAGGGGCTAACGGGAGTATTAGTAATTTGTGTAATAACAAATTACTGAAATCTATGATTTTAAGCATAAGGTACAAAATATATCTTTATACATAAATAAAAAATATCCTTGGGACATTTTACAATGCGCCATCTAGTCTCAAACTTGCCCTATGTCCTTATTTTATATTTTACTAGCTAACCCGGTGAACTTCGTACCGTTTATGTTCATCAGAAATAATGTAGGAGGCTTGATGATGATGATGATCGTGAAATGATCAGTTACAGCATAAACCGTTAGCCATAGCCAAACCTAGCCTGCCTAGAAACCAGTGAACACCGCGGTTGTACTGTGATATGTATAAATACATACATAAATAAATAAATAAGACATCGGCACATCAAACGTATAGATCGTGTCATCCACTCGGACGCGCCCCACCATTCTTCCGCGAATGTTTGAGTGTTATCGGTACACGCGAATGCTCCATGAGTGCACACGCACACTACAGTAATGCCTTACGGCTTGCTCGGACCACACTCCCCGCACCCCGCGCGACCGGGACCACACATTACTGGGGCGCGCCCGAGTGGATGAAACGATCTATAACAGTTGCATGCAAAACCACATCTTATTCCGTTTGGAATACAGGTGGTTTTACGGTCAACATGTTACTTTTGATGTGGCGTTATATTTCATTTTTTTAGAGCTTGGTAAGGTGTGATTTTACTTTTAGTAATTTCAAAGAACCATTATCAAATTAATTGAACATTGTATGTAATTTACAATTAAATTTGATTAATTTCAATTTCATCAATTAAAGAAGCAGTCATATAAAAAGTGATAAAATACATAAATAAATACTCATTTTATATGTATTCAAAATCACTGGATAATCGTTACTTCTTTAATAAAATATTTATATTCAATAAAAAAAGCAATGATGGTAAAAATAATCATAAAATATGTGCGAATTCAAACCCTCTTGTAACCCTTCAAGAACCATTTTAAAACCTCTACGTGACCATACATCACAGTACACCGTGTGCTCTCTCTCTCTCTCTCACTCACGTGCGCTTGAATATCTTCCGTCTCGCTCTGCCCAGACTGCCCACTATACTGGAGTATGCGAGCCGACCCATTGTCCTATGGTTACCATACCACATTATACTATACTCAAGTCAACATCAAATAAATCGCACCTTCCGCGATTCAAACTTTAAAGATTTTCTTCTGACACAATCATGGTGCTCCAACAATATTGGTGTTATTTGAAAGTTAAATAAACTTTAGGAAAAACACATTAATTTTATTTATAAACAATTAACAGGTACCATAAATGTGACCTGAAAAAAGGCCTCACTTGGGGCTCACCCCTGGGATCAATTAGACCAATTTTTGTGGTTATAAAACCAAATAATGATCTTACGTGTCCATTTTAACAGATGGATAGCGATTAATCCTAATTTAACAGTTTTATACCCGTAAAAGTTGGCTCAAGCGTAACTACCTATTTTTTGAAGAAGTGACTCTGGATCCTTCTAAAAACACGTTTTTGGGGTAAAAACCTTTCCTTTAATTAAATGAAGTTTAGAACTAGGCTTTCAAATGGAACCAATGTTGGTGAGAAGTGGGGATGCATACGTTTGAGAAGTGCTTGTTACGGGAGGTGCGATTTATTTGATGCCGAGTGTATTTTAGACTTTAGAGACATATTGGTTGGCTTCCTGCATAGTAGTTCGGTATAAGTCGCGCTGCGAGAGTTGATACGAAAACGGTTTTCATAAATCAAATCATTTATTCAGTACTAGCGGCCGCCCGCGACTTCGTACGCGTGGATCCCGTTTTACCCCCTTAGGGGTGGAGTTTCGTAAAATCCTTTCTTAGCGGATGCCTACGTCATAACATCTACCTGCATGCCAAATTTTAGCCCGATCCGTCCAGAGGTTTGGACTGTGCGTTGATAGATCACTATGTCAGTCAGTCAGTCAGTCAGTCACCTTTGAGTTTTATGTATATAGACTAAGGCCAGGGCGCTTATACAAGTCCCAAATCAAATCAGGTGAGATACAGGCCAAGAGCTTCCTCGTTGTGGATAAAAAAAAATAGCTTGCCCTACCACCACTTCGGGACAACATATGGGCTGGTGCTGAGAAGAAGTGGCGGAAGAAACTCGGTCACCTTTGTCAGTGTTATAATATTTGATTGACACTTCAAGTTCAAATATTGAATACACTAGCTATCTCGCTCTCGCTAAATATGTGCAAACGAGACAGGAAACACTTGTCAAAGACGTCACCGCCGCGGCGAGCGTATACAGATACAAATCTTTGCTTGTGTTGATCGCCCCAACTCTCGCTGCGAGACCTATAGTCCAATATGATAACCACTATGCCATTATACAGGGTGTAAATAACATGCATCACGCATTCAATGACACTGAATTTTTCTAAGAGAAAGATTTCGTGATAGGTTTTTTTACACCCTTTATTTGCAGTATAAAAAGTATAATATAACTGTTGAATAGTCAGTTTTAGCTACACTATATTAGCACAACAGCTATAATAGTACATAATACACAAGAAGGTACACAATACACAAGCAGACTACATAGATCAGCCAGATTATAGTGTAAAAGATTTAAGATGTCGTTGTGGGAATCTTGCGACGAGTTTGGAGCAAAATGTGCATTTCCCAAAATGTACTCAGTAGGTGCATTTCTTATAATGTGAATTTCACAAAATGTCAACAGGAAAAATGTGCAACACATTTATGTACTAATAATTAACGAAGAAACAAACTTATCGGCTTTATAACAATTAGTATAGAAAATGTATTTTGCGAAGTTCACATAATGCACCTACTACGAAATGTTCATTTGGACTCAAGTGCTCATTTTACGAAGTGCACATACAGCGTCAAATCTCAGACGGGTATCTTTGGATTGGAAAGAAAGGTATTTAAGGCAGAATATTATAATTATAATTATCTGGCGCTTAACTGAGTCAATGCCTGACGGGATGATTTTTTTGTGTCGTCAAGTGTCATCGAGATGTCAGATTTGTATAGTTCCAAAATACTGAACTGTGCTATGCATGACATTGACAGTGGGGCGCCACCGTCAATACCGGATCGCTGGTTCTGATTTTTGCCATGTTGGAAACCATATAGTTGAACGATGGTAGCGCCCCCCTGTCATTGAGTTTGGCGGGACAGTTCAGCGTGGGTCATCTATATGCTCTGTCACGTCATAATATGTCAATGTCATTCCTCCCGTGCCGCTTCCATACCTCAGACACTGACTAACTTAAGCGCTAGGATTATTATTAGGACCTATATGCCCGTTTTTACCATCAATCCCTAATTTTTAAGTGACCCCTATGGTAACAAATAACAGGAATTTTTCAGGGGTCACTTAAAAATTAGGGATTGAAAACGGGCAATAGTCACTTCTGTGTATCCTCACCTGTCATTCCTGTCATGCTGCGGCTTGCTGTCGCGCCCGAGTATGATGCGCATGTGCGTGTCACGATTAAAGTGGGTGTCAGTCAACACTGGCTGTAGTGACGTCAGGCTGGCCGGCTGAGACCCTATAACATATTATGAAATTTAAATAAAGTCAACCGGCAAGCGAAAGGTCCTGGGTTCGAGTCCCTGAATCGAGTTCGAGAATCTTAGGCTGATCGATTTTTTTCAAGTTATTTTAAAAATATTTATGAAATTCAAATTCTATAGTATCACAGTATCAGATTGTAGTGATATTTCAGCACTGGTCCACATGACTGTCCTGTTTATTAAGGTTTATTTAACTGGGATCTGTAAAAGTGGGCTAAAATTAATTATCAGACATTTATTAACTTAAAAAGCTAATTTTCTTCTGTAAAACAAAACTTCAGTCGTGAAAATCCTCGACAAGGGCTTCCCTTTGTCGCTTGTGGACGTCACTGGACTAAAATGAATGAATATAAAAAAAACCAAATACATAAGTGCAATTATTCTGAAATGATATAATGTGATTCAACGATAAATATTTATAATAATAAAAACACCTTATTATACACCACACAAAACAAAAAAAATTGATACACAAACGAGACAGTACAATTTAGGCAATCTTATAGCTAGTGTTAGAGGCCGGTAGATCTATTCTCATAATAAAACACTGAATACTCAACTTTCACATTATATTGCCCTATTTTTAATATAAAATTCATCACTTAGCACAAAATCCCCGCGCGTCCCTCTAATCTGACGTTTCAAGTGTGACATTGACATTACGTCAATGTCACTATGACAGCAGCTCATTAGCTATAACGATACCGTTATTTTAACGTACGATTTTTACAGTTAACACTGGCTATAAAACGATATTTTTAAGTATATTTTTATAGATTACTTACCGAAGGGCATGCTGTGCTGCGTAGGGCTGCAGAGAGCGCTAGGGCTTCGAGGAGGCGACGCGTACAGCGGACTGCTGCAGTCTCGCTCGCCCGACACGTAGCTTCTGATAACATAATAATATTCATTACAAATTAAATTAAAATCCTATTAAGTAAACCCTTTTCAGGGCATTGTCGCTTGAGGCCCAGTTTCCACCAAGGTGGAGAAATATTCTATTTCTCCGCTTCGCTCCGCATTATTGAAAATCGTGCCTTACACTCGAGTCCATACAGTCGGAGTATGGACTTAGAAAAATTCTAAACCACATCCGAAATCATTTTTCCCAATTCAACCGTCATTAAACGATCTGAAAACGCACTGGAACCAGCCTTGACACTATCCCCCTTATTACAAAAAGTTTAAACCCTGGTTTAAATTGACATTTAGTATGGAAATGTCATTTTAAACCGGAGTTCGTCCCGGGTTTAACTTTTTTGTAATAAGGCCCTTTAGGTCTAGCACTTAACTCGGCTGAGGTATAGAAGCGACACGGGAGGTGATGTTGTGAAGGTCAAACGTCAGCGAGGCTTCAGATTTTTATGTCCTATCACAGAATAATAATAAGTACTTCGTACAGAAGATTTTCTTCGCGAAGGTATTTAAAAAAATGTATGCTCAATGTCGTTAACAATATGGTGTAATTTAGCTTGTCTCAAGAGTCGAGCACCATTTTGTTGACAAACGTCAGTGATCGGTACTGCGCCGAAGACATAGGGCTGACTACGGTAAAATGATGTGTGACGTTTGGTGCCAAACTGAGAAAAATGGCGGAGGAAATACATGAATAAGCATGAATTATATTTTGTGTTTCTAATATTATTCAGGCAGTTAAACAATACTGTAGAGTATTAATTGCACCACCGTTTTTAGATATTATGGTTTATTGTCTTTACAATGCAAATGGGTGAAGAATACGTGCGTGCGTCAATACTCGCTCGTGATTGTCCTGTCGATTTGGTATCTCAGGAGGGGTAGTCGCGCGTGTTTTGTTTTCGATGCAAACTCGCGGAGATGAACAGGCCTGCTCTTAATTACTAGTCAAATTATACCATAACTTCGAACCCCTCCTATGTTCTTCTGAATAATTTCGTTGCGGGTCCAATGACAGTTAAACTTTCCCCCGGGACAAACTTGACCTTCATTAGTTGGGTTTTTATTGGCGGTCAAGCTGTAGATCCTGGCTACACGACGCCGCGAAACAACATATTGGCTGGTAAAAAAAATACATATTAAGTAAGTTAAAAGCTTGGGGAAGACTTTGTCCAGTCCTTTGTCGTCTTCGTCTTTTGGCTGAAAAGGAAAGATAGGAAAAAAGAAATCTCCCTGTCCGGGTGTTGTGGAAATTCTTTGGGAATAGCCCGCTATCCAGCAGTAGAAGTCTTTCTCCTAAAAAGCAAAGGACTTCAGGAATAAATCACCCTTATTACCTCAGCTTAGAGTCCTTTTCAACAGCATAGTGTTCGGGTATAACGCTCTCTCTGTCTCGCTCGCGGCGGCCGCGACCGCATCTTGCGACTTGCTGTGCGAAGGTGAGAGAGAGATTCGCTCGGTTCGCCTGCGAAAGAAACGACATGATAGATTAAAATAGAATAAATAATTTATTTGATATAAAACAATAAATGAAGTTTCAAAAACTAAAAACACGCTTTCAATTACTGCACTAAATCATCTAGCACTAAAGTGCTCGAAAAGACAAATCCAATGAACCCAAACTTGATGCGGTTCCGCCGTTTCGTTTAGGAGTTCCTATGGCCACCTTCCAGTCCCATCATCAGACCAGCTCGATGGTACCATAATATTTTATTGTCATCTAATCTTAACATATACAGGGTGACTGGAACTGAACCCGCCATAGCTAATACGCGTATAGAGGAGGTCATTTGCTAATTATTGAACCTTACTTTCTATGACTAAAGTTTTATAGTTTAGGAGATATGACAATTTTTATACTTGTTTCAGATTTTCCAGAAATTTGNAACATCAAATAAACCGCACCATCCGCGACGCGAACTTTAAAGATTTTCTTCTGACACAATCATGGTACCCCAACAATATTGGTGTTATTTGAAAGCCCAATAAATATCCTTAAAGAAAAATACATTTCATTTCTAAATAAATGATTAACATATACCATAAATGTGACTTGAAAATAGACCTCACTTTGGGCTCACCTCTGGGATCAATTAGACCAATTTTTATGGTTATAAAACCAAATAAAGATCTCACGTGTCCTCTTTAACAGATGTATAGCGATTAATCCCAACTTGACAGTTTTATAGTCATAAAAAATGGCTATAGCGTAACCACCTATTTTTTGAAGAAGTCACTCTGGATCCTTGTAAAGACACATTTTTGGGGTAAAAACCTTTCCTTTAATGAAATGAAGTTTAGAACTAGGCTTTCAAATGGTACCAATGTTGGTGGGAAGTGGGGATGCATACGTTTGATAAGTGCTTGTCGCGGGAGGTGCGGTTTATTTGATGTTGAGTATATAATGAACCATACCTTCCCAAAGACCTCCGGACCTTATTAACGTTTTCTTCGACTTCCAACACGTCCTCGGTGGTATCATCCAGTAAATCATCTTCAGTAGTAGTCGGCATAGAAGTGGTGGTGGTAGTTGTGGTGGTGGGAGGGACAGGCAAGTCTGGAGGCATCCGCCGAGGTTTCAACAGGCACCGTCGGCAGGCGTCTTTGGCGAAAACTGGTTCCTTCTCGTCGAATAGGCTTTTTCTGTCGCCCATTATCAGTTCGGAATCCGAGGGGAATTTGTCGCTGGAAATATAAGAAACTGTTGATGGACGATGTTCAAAATAAGCACCGATAGCAAAAAATACATATTGTGTGTAGTATAGGAGCAAGTTTGGATCATGAAGTACTAGCTTTTGCACGCGGCTTCACCCACGTGAAATTTAGTTTCAAAGATCGGCATAAATTATAGCCTATATGTTAATCTGGGTTACAAACAATAATACTGTAAAGTTTCAACAAAATCCGTTCAGTAGTTTTTGCGTGAAAGAGTAACAAACATCCAGACATCCAAACACCCAGACTTTCGCATTTATAATATTAGTAGGATTATTACAATTATTGTTTGTGTTGCAATGTTGTAAAATGGTTACAATTTTTGAAGATAGGAAATTCTTAAAAAACCGCAATATGTTTCAAATGGGTTTCAAACTAGATTTGTACCAAATTTTACAGTTGGGATTCAGTGATTTAAGCGTCAACAGTGAGACACTACACCATCACATGTAGGAAGTAGAATTAGTAGCCGTGGGGAATGTACGCCAAATCCTCGATTTCCCTCTGCCTGATGATGATGATGCAATCCCCATTATTAATTAATATACATACTAATGTATGGAGGCCGCGTATCGGAAAACGCAGCGTGGTCCACCCACAAGGTGGACCGGCATCATGAAGGAATGCACTGGACGCAGGCCGCTACCAACCGTGCGATGTGGAAGTCATTGGGGGAGGCCTATGTTCAGCAGTGGACGGCCTATGGCTGAGATGATGGTGATGAAAGAAGCATACTTGGAGAAGACATCAGTGATGTAGGCGCCTAGCACCGGTTGAACAGCATGCGCCTCCTCGTAGTCGATGATGCTGATGTCCCGCGGCGACGGCAGGTTCTTCCAGTCCGTGTTAGGCAGCATTCGGACCATGTGCACCCTGGGAATAGTTGGCAGAAATATATTATAATTATCACACTGACCATGGACCCCTTTGGCTATTGATACACTTTTTATTAGTTGTCGAAACATAACTCTTTTCTAGATTTTGTATATTAATCCAGATGATGTCATTAGGTCCATGCAAAAAAGAGTACTCTGCTAACTAGCCGTAACTATAACGATGACCGGTGTTTTTTGTATGGAGTTAGACAGATTTTTGTCGTTTGTTGAAGTTAAAGTAAGATGTTGCAACTCAACCAATATAATGTAGGTAAGTTTGTAACCGACATACCTGTAGCAGCAAATAGGGCCGTTGCGCTCAGTTATTCTCGGCAGGTACATCTTGAACATGAATTTGTCCTCTTCCAGAATCTAGAAAACGAAATCATGATTATTGTTACGTGTTAACACCAAATGCGCAGGCGTAATGTATGTATATGGCTCTTACTTTTCGTCTCTCCTGAGCGCGGGTATTTTAGGTCGATGAGCGAACAAGATGTGAGAGTGATGTTACCTTGTATCAGGGGGGAGGGGGAGGGAAGCACGTCTGAGATCTGGTTTCCACTAAAGCGGAGCGGAGAAGAGATGTGTAAATAATTGGTTATTCAGAACACTTCTCCGCTCTGCTCTACTCTACCTTTGTGGAACCTTGTGCCAAAGTTGGTGACCACCGCAGGAGCGCTTAGTCGCTTGCTCCCCAACACGGGAGGGCCAGATAGATTGTGCCGGAAGCTATATATGGGCGTCGTCCGCTCCATGGCCCTTTACGGGGCCCCTGTGTGGTTTGACGCCCTTCTTGGAGATAACGCCAAAAGGCTCCTGGCTGTCCAACGGCTCATGGCAACAAGAGTGGTGCGAGGTTACAGCACCATTTCGACTGACGCAGCCCTGGCCTTGGCCGGAATTTTACCCTGGGATATCGACCCTTGGCGAGGAGACCAAAGAGCTCAGGATCAGCGACCAGCACCCAGAGAGGTCGAGGCACAAAGGACGATACATGAAGATGTCGCCATAGAGACATGGAAGCGCCGTCTGGCTCAGAGCAAAGCAGGCCGTCGTACCATAAGCGCCATACATCCGGTGTTGGAGGAGTGGGTACGGCGGGAACACGGTCGTCTCTCTTATAGAGCGACCCAACTGTTAACTGGCCACGGCTGTTTCGGCGACTATCTATTTCGGATAGGACGGGAGCCGCGGCGCCACGTGCGCGTCATGGCGCCAGGCGGGCGGTGCGGCTGCTGCGTCGAGATGACTCTCACCTTGCGCCAGGCGCCGCGTGCGCGTCATGGCGCCAGGCGGGCGGTGCGGCTGCTGCGTGGAGATGACTCTCACCTTGCGCCAGGCGCCGCGTGCGCGTCATGGCGCCAGGCGGGCGGTGCGGCCGCTGCGTGGAGATGACTCTCACCTTGCGCCAGCGCGGGCGGGGCGGCGAGTGCGGCGGGGCGGGGGGCGTGCTGCAGTGGCGCGTCTCCTCGTCGCCGCGGCGCCGCGTGCGCGTCATGGCGCTCAGGCGGACCGTGTAGTTGCTGTTCGGTTGCAGGTCGTCGAACCTAGATAAATGTCATGAATGTCAAAATATCATNCAGTTCCAGTCACCCTGTATAACTCAAAGGTGACTGACTGACTGACATAGTGATCTATCAACGCACAGCCCAAACCACTGGACGGATCGGGCTGAAATTTGGCATGCAGGTAGACGTTATGACGTAGGCATCGGCTAAGAAAGGATTTTACGAAACTCCACCCCTAAGGGGGTAAAACGGGATCCACGCATACGAATCTATAATTACCAAGTTTCGTGATGATACAAGAATAGGCTAGTTTCCTAAAAAAATTTTTTTAGTCCGTCATGTTTAATATCAAAAAATATTGGACACCTATATTTTTATTTGTCAATCTAACAAATAATTAAATAGTTATGGTGCGTTGAAGTTCCGCACGACGTCACAAAGTGCGGCACTTATATGCACTCATTGACGTCACGGGCCTCTTCTTATGAACTTTGGCGCGCTTTATCTCTTTAAACTTTCATTAGTTTGAAAAAGTGAAAAATACGTGTTAGAGTATTTTTTGATAAGTTAACTGACGGACTAATTAAAACTCTTGCTTTTTGACCCAGGAAACATCCCTATTAGATACATCGCTACAAGCAAGCGCTACATCTGTGCGTGCTGCTTTTCATCGATCGGTCCGCACTCGGCCTACTGCGTGTGAAAATAATGATACAAATACAAATACCAACAATACCGTCTCCAGAGTTTTTCTTCCCAACAAGCCTGAATTATGTGTGGGAGCCTATAATGTGTGGGAGCCGGTACACTGTGTAGGGAGCCTGTATAATATGGAGCATACCTTATCCTGCGTTTCCGGCGCATCATTCGGCTCGTGCGAGCGGCCGGAGCCTCCAGTGAGGTTGGACGACGACTTGGTCGAGTTGGAACTGTGCACGCTGCGCCGCTTGTAGTCCGGGGAGCCGGTACACTGTGTAGGGAGCCTGTATAATATGGAGCATACCTTATCCTGCGTTTCCGGCGCATCATTCGGCTCGTGCGAGCGGCCGGAGCCTCCAGTGAGGTTGGACGACGACTTGGTCGAGTTGGAACTGTGCACGCTGCGCCGCTTGTAGTCCGGAGAACCTGCGATAGATATTTATTTTTAATTGCATATCATACGAAACTGATAAATGATAAATAAGAACGCCTGACTTCTGAGTCAACTTGAGTGAGACTTGGTCTGCCAAGGAGTCTTGAGTTTGATTTTCAGTGGGAACAAAATTTTTTTTTTGGTGAAAGCCCTAGGGCTTATTCTAAGTTACTAGCATATAACGCCATTTTATTGATTTTACACGATGAGCCCATACATTTGTCGTCAAAATAATCGACAAGATTTTATCACAGCTCGCATTAATTCGAATATCTGTAAAACACATTGATACTAACAAGACTTACTAATACCACAGAATAATAATAATTATAAGTACTACGTACAGAAGTTTTACTTCGCGAAGGTATTTAAAAAAATGTATGCTCAATGTCATTAACAATATGGTGTAATTTAGCCTGTCTCAAGAGTCAAGCACCATTTTGTTGACAAACGTCAGTGATCGGCACTGCGCCGAAGCTATAGGGCTGACTTCGGTAAAATGATGTGACGTGAGGTGCCAAACTGCGGAAAATGGCGGAGGAAATACATGATTTAGCATGAATTATCATGAATAATATTAACTACTTATTTACCTCTGTGTCTTCATGCAACTTAAAAAAGTATATTCTGTGTTTTTATTATTATTTAGGCAGTTAAATATTGCACAGTATTTAGTACATCATTTTCTTTATTCTTTCCATCATACACAAGAATACGCGTGCGTGAGTCAATGCTCGCTCGTATGTGAGGCCTTTTCGAATAGTAATCCTGTAGGGTGTCATCGTGCTTGTTTTGTTTTCGATGTAAACTCGCGGAGATGAACAGGCCTGATTTTACCTCTAACTGCCGGAACACAACAATGCTGTTAACATTGTTGTTATGGCGACAGACTTAGGTAAGATGGTGGTAGCTAGCCAGGCGGACTTAGAACAAGCCCTACCACCAACCAAACCGAACAGAAAAATCTGCGCCCACTGGGAATCGAACCCGGGACCTCTGCGTCTGAAGCAGGTGGTCTTACCACTAGACCACAGAGGCGGTTAAATTATATCTACCTGCGCTGGGCGGGCGGGCTGTGGGCGCGTCTTGCTTGGGCGGCGCGGTCACGGGGGCGGCGCCCCAGCGCTCCAGCATCAGGCAGATGTTGGCGTGCCCGGCGCGCCACGCTACTTTGGCTGGCGTGCGGCCTGGGTGACACACAAGAAACCAATGATATTAAAGAACTATAGATATGTTACGTTCATAAAAATTACGATTTTAATCCGTGCCGAGCTATTCCAAATTGCACACATTGACAAATGTAACTGATAAGTGAAACAAAAGATACGAAATAGCACGCAAATGAAAAAGATAGCTATAGTTTTAACGATTCTGCACTAACTAATCTATGTCCGCACCGCACGCATCCTTATCGCTCTAACGTCAAAACAAGATCGCTTTCTCTTTCTTAACTTGAACATGGCGCATGGCGTCTTGATTGTTTGCATAAATAATTGAAAATATAAATACTAAATAATTTTGCATAATCACATGTGGTAAGAGATCCCTTGTATTTTGTTTACTTTAGAGTCATAATTGGTACACTTTCGAAACACACACGATGGCATTTCTTATTTATTTTGGTAAGAACAGGAACTTACGGTGTGGTACGCACGCGATTGCGCACGACGCAGGCCACACGAAGACTAAACACAAGACGTCCCAATTGGGACGTATTTGAGTATTCACAGCGCGAGCGCTTATAACATATCTGCTTTTGTTTTTATATAATATCATTGCAAGAAACATTTAACTATATCATCAAACTAGCTTTCCGCCATAGATTTGACCTTGCAATGGAGGGAAGTCGAACCTTAATAAAATAAGGTTTATTTAACAACTTTAACATTTTTTACATTGCTTACATTGCATTGTTGTACATACATTTCCTTAAAGACCCGTTTAATGCTAAGGTTGTACCGACATACGCTTCAGTTCATAAAGTAACTGAGATTTCTACGCTAGGCTAAGCCTGTCATGTAGACAATCTTTTGTCACAAGTTAACAAAAATATTTATATCATATGCGACCTCAACTGTCAGTCAACAATTTCAAACTCCTCCTATGTTCTTCTGATTGATTTCGTTGCGGGTCCAATGACAGTTTAACTTTCCCGGGACAAACTTGACCTTCACTGGTTGGGTTATTGGCGGTCAAGCTGTAGATCCTGGCTACACAGGAGTTGCAGTGGTGGGAACGAGAGGTGGGAATAGTCCCGTTAGCTTGTTTGTGTTTTCATGGGAATTAATCGAATTTTTCTCGCCGTAAAAACTATCTTTAGACTTCAACAAACATAAAAAAAAGAATTGGTAAAATTGGTCCAGGCGTTGTTGATTTATGCCTTACCAACACATTTTGCGATTAATTTTTATATTATAGATCAAATAGTTTATTCAGTACATAGGCCCTTACCAGGGCACTCGTACACGTCCCAAATATGTATAGCTTGCCCGACCACCACTTCGGGACAATATGGGCGTTTAGGCGCAAATTGTCAAGCGGTTGCAATGTCAACACATTTTGAAAACTTGTCATTTTGCGCATTTGACATTTTACGAATTTGGCAATTTGACTAAGTGAGAATCTGGGACCGCAATGTCCCAGATTCTCACTTAGTCAAATTGCCAAATTCGTAAAATGTCAAATGCGCAAAATGACAAGTTTTCAAAATGTGTTGACATTGCAACCGCTTGACAATTTGCGAATTTGACAATTTGCGCCTAAACGGTTTACTTTATAGTATCCTTTTTTCATAAGGATTTTCTATGAACTACACTAGGTTGAGATTAATATAAATATTATCCAAGTTACCGCAATGGTCAGCTTGCATAGGGTCAGCGCCGTGTTGTAGCAACCATAACACACACTCCTCGTGCCCTTCTTGCGCTGCTATACCTGTGAAAAAAATTTATAAATTGCAAAAAATGCTTGAGTTTTCAATGAAAGAATAGAATAAAAACTTTATTGTAAACGACACGTAACAGAGATACCAAATCGAAAAGGGAAAATTTAAGCAAACGCAAGCTCCCTCGTCATGAGTTACATGTATAGCCTGACCAGGAACATAAAAACCCTGGCATAGTGGCGCGTCAATTGCATTTGATAGTGCAACACTGAGTACAGTCGTACCTGTGTTAAATTAATAGGCTAACTTTATGTATCAGGATTCAGGATTACGGGTTAATTTAATATTTTCATGAATTAACGAAAACATATTATTATAGGTAACCTGGTTTAAATAAATTAAATGAAACCATCAATCGAGCTAGTAGGATTTATTTTATTATTCATCAATAATCAAATTCAGAACTTGAATATTCAACTGCAATGTCTGCTCATGAACGCTTCATGAAGCGTTCATGAGCAGACATTGCAGTTGAATATTCAAGTTCTGAATTTGATTATTGATGAATAATAAAATAAATCCTACTAGCTCGATTGATGGTTTCATTTAATTTATTTAAACCAGGTTACCTATAATAATATGTTTTCGTTAATTCATGAAAATATTAAATTAACCCGTAATCCTGAATCCTGATACATAAAGTTAGCCTATTAATTTAACACAGGTACGACTGTACTCAGTGTTGCACTATCAAATGCAATTGACGCGCCACTATGCCAGGGTTTTTATGTTCCTGGTCAGGCTATACATGTAACTCATGACGAGGGAGCTTGCGTTTGCTTAAATTTTCCCTTTTCGATTTGGTATCTCTGTTACGTGTCGTTTACAATAAAGTTTTTATTCTATTCTTTCATTGAAAACTCAAGCATTTTTTGCAATTTATAAATTTTTTTCACAGGTATAGCAGCGCAAGAAGGGCACGAGGAGTGTGTGTTATGGTTGCTACAACACGGCGCTGACCCTATGCAAGCTGACCATTGCGGTAACTTGGATAATATTTATATTAATCTCAACCTAGTGTAGTTCATAGAAAATCCTTATGAAAAAAGGATACTATAAAGTAAACCGTTTAGGCGCAAATTGTCAAATTCGCAAATTGTCAAGCGGTTGCAATGTCAACACATTTTGAAAACTTGTCATTTTGCGCATTTGACATTTTACGAATTTGGCAATTTGACTAAGTGAGAATCTGGGACCGCAATGTCCCAGATTCTCACTTAGTCAAATTGCCAAATTCGTAAAATGTCAAATGCGCAAAATGACAAGTTTTCAAAATGTGTTGACATTGCAACCGCTTGACAATTTGCGAATTTGACAATTTGCGCCTAAACGGTTTACTTTATAGTATCCTTTTTTCATAAGGATTTTCTATGAACTACACTAGGTTGAGATTAATATAAATATTATCCAAGTTACCGCAATGGTCAGCTTGCATAGGGTCAGCGCCGTGTTGTAGCAACCATAACACACACTCCTCGTGCCCTTCTTGCGCTGCTATACCTGTGAAAAAAATTTATAAATTGCAAAAAATGCTTGAGTTTTCAATGAAAGAATAGAATAAAAACTTTATTGTAAACGACACGTAACAGAGATACCAAATCGAAAAGGGAAAATTTAAGCAAACGCAAGCTCCCTCGTCATGAGTTACATGTATAGCCTGACCAGGAACATAAAAACCCTGGCATAGTGGCGCGTCAATTGCATTTGATAGTGCAACACTGAGTACAGTCGTACCTGTGTTAAATTAATAGGCTAACTTTATGTATCAGGATTCAGGATTACGGGTTAATTTAATATTTTCATGAATTAACGAAAACATATTATTATAGGTAACCTGGTTTAAATAAATTAAATGAAACCATCAATCGAGCTAGTAGGATTTATTTTATTATTCATCAATAATCAAATTCAGAACTTGAATATTCAACTGCAATGTCTGCTCATGAACGCTTCAGAATCGGTACTTCTTTCCCAATTCCATAAAATTCAACACTTAGAAAGTGACAAAATTTTTTAAAATAGTTAGTTGAAACCTCAGATCATAGAAGGGAATAGATGTGAAACGGGGGCGTGGCGCGTGTCTCCGCGATATGCCCAGAAACGAACATCGCCCGCGACGCCAGGTTAGTCACGATTCAGTCGTACTGAGGAAATGTTCTCCGATATTGTTGGATAATGCGTCGTAACGTGCAATAACATAAGTGAAACGATGAACTACAGGAACAATGAAGTCGTTTACCACATGTAAGTATTGCAAATCCATTGGTATTTTGCTTATAAATAAAAAAAACTAAACATTTTTACGAACGAATTCAGTGCCGTGACATTTACTGCGATATCGACATGTCAGTCAATTTGACAACCTTTGTCGGAAACATTATTCAATGAAAATATTGTCCGAACCCTTAGTATTTCTCTTCGTCAAATACTTTAACACATTGTGAACCACTTTTCTTTCACGACTATAAAAAGATTTTAGCAATTTAATTCACAAAATCAGTTGCGTACATTTAAAATAAAGTTTGTTTACACTTTGACAGCAATAGACTGACATGCAAGGTGACATGTCAATGAAGTTTTCAGTTACTGTTGCCATTAAAAGAAATTAGTACCATTAGTTTTCCGCAACATGGCGAGGGTTTTTATGTTCCTGGTCAGGCTATACCTCCCTTTTCGATTTGGTATCTCTCCCTCCCTAGTACCGTAACACCCGGTTTAAGTGCCGTGGCTCCCTCCCTAGTAACGTGGATCCTTCCCTAATAATGTGACATTCTGGTTAAGTGACGTGGCTCCTTCCCTAGTGACGTGGCTCCCTCCCTAATAACGTGACACCTAGGTTGTGGCGCGGTTCCCTTCCAAGTAATGTAGCTTATTCTCTAATAACGTGTCTCCCCGCCTAGTAACGTGACCTCTTTGCCCAATGGCTTCCTTTCTACCTAGAGACGTGACTCCCTACTGACGTAACCTCTGCCTGCTACGTAGCTCCATTTCAGCGGCATTTCTCTCTGGCTAGTGACGTAATTCTCTACTTAGTAACGTAGCTCCCTCCCTAGTGACGTGGCCTCGATGCCTACCTAGCGGCGTGGCTCCCTGCGTGCAAACGGCGGCGGGGTCGGCGCCGTGCTGTAGCAACGCTCGCAGCACAGAGGCCCGGTCCGACGGCAGCGGTCTCTGCGGTCCCTCCCTAGTGACGTGGTTCCCTCCCCAGTGACGTGGCTCCCTCCCTAGTAACGTGGCTGCCTCCGTAGTGACACGGCTCCCTCCCTAGTAACGTGAGCCCCTCCCTAGTAACATGACACCCTGGTAGTGGCTCCCTCCCTAGTAACGTGGCTCCCTCCCTAGTGACATGGCTCCCTGCCTACCTAGCGGCGTGGCTCCCTGCGTGCAAACGGCGGCGGGGTCGGCGCCGTGCTGTAGCAACGCTCGCAGCACGGAGGCCCGGCCTCGCCAGGCGGCGGCGTGGAGCGCCGTCCGACGGCACCTGTCTCGGCCGTCTACTTGAGCGCCACCTAGAGGAAAAAGAAATACAAAAACTGTCAGCGTGTCAATAAAACTTTCCTGAACACTATAATCCGGGCCTTTTCAAGGCGAGTGAATAGTACAAGGCAGATATGTACCATCCTAGACCGCATTTGATGGAGGGAGATCGTGCGGAGAGTTGTATCCGCCTCTACAACCGATGTGAACAACGCCTCAACGTGACCACGACCGCTCTGCCAAGAGCGTAACGAATAAAAAGAAGACTGCATTTTAACACCAGTAGGCTTATTCACGTAACAAAACTTCAACGACAACAAATCGCTGAGTTGCGATCCTATCAAGTAATATTTCTAAAGTCCGGTCCGTGAGCACGTAGAATTTTGTCCAATGACCCCAAGCTACCCATCCTTATCGTTCGCGCGTAATTATATTGCTGTCGCAACTGTGCGACGGGCGCCCGCAATAATTTAACAGTCGCAGCACAATATCAACAGGGGGCCTGTTGCTACAGTGTTTATCTACCTGTAACCTCTGTAACCTCTCAAACAATAAAAAATTAAATAGACGCCTGGTTCTCGAATCCTTCAATCGTCGCGCAGCGAAAGTTGAGGCGAAACACATACATTTTTCAATTTTAAACAGGTACTCACCAACTTTGATGAGTAGATTCACCATATCTGTGTGCCCTTGCCACGCTGACACGTGCAATGGTGTCCGACCCTGCAACACAAAATACCAGCGTTATGTTCTGCCATTTTGATTTCTAAAAAACTAATTTGAATATTTTGTTACAGAGCAATCGGTGCTGCGTCGGTCCGTGTCGAGAGAGTCAACGTCAGCTCTGGACCTCTGGTCTCCCTGCTGTGTTACACTCTCCCTGCTGTGTTCCAGTCACCCTTACTGTGTTACACTCGCCCCTGTTGTGTCACACTCACCTCTTGATCCGCAGCAGCGACGCTCTCTCTACAGTCAAGAAGGCAGCGCGCCATCGCCAGTCGGTTGTCCAGTGCTAGTACATAGAGGGTGCTTCGTCGGTCTGCGTCTAGAGAGAATCAACGTCGGCTCGGGTTTCATTACTGTGTTATACTTGCCCCTGCTGTGTTACACTCTCGCCCCTGCTGTGTTACACAAGCCCTGTCTGTGTTACAGTCACCCCTGTTGTGTTACAGTCACCCCTGTTGTGTTACACTCTCCCCTAATGTTACACTTGCCTCTTGATCCGCAGCAGCAACGCTCGCTCGACAGTCAAGCAGGCAGCGCGCCATCGCCAGTCGATTGTCTAGCGCTAGCATATAGAGAGTGCTTCGTCAGTCTGCGTCGAGAGAATCGACGTCGGCTCCGATCTCTCTGCTGTATTACACTAGCCCCTACTGTGTAACATTAGCCCCTGCTGTGTTACACAAGCCCTTTCTGTGTTACAGTCACCCCTGTTGTGTTACACTCGCCCCTAATGTTACACTCACCTCTTGATCAGCAGCGGCGACGCTCGCTCTACAATCAAGCAGGCACCGCGCCATCGCCAGTCGATTGTCTAACGCTAACACATAAATCGTTCTGCGTCGGTCTAGAGACTATAGTCTGGTCCGTGAGCACGTAGAATTTTGTCCAATGACCCCTAGCTACCCATCCTTATCGCTCGCGCGTAATTATGTTTCTATCGCGCTCGCACACTCACTGCGGGTGCCAGTCGCACAGTCGCGACAGCAATATAATTACGCGCGAGCGATAAGGATGGGTAGCTTGGGGTCATTGGACGGGATTCTACGTGCTCACGGTCCAGGCTTTAGCACATAGAGGGTGCTTCGTCGATCTAGAGACTCCACTGAAGGCTCCAGTCTCCCTACTGTGTTGTGTTACACTAGCCCCTAATTTTACACTGACCTCTTGATCCGCAGCAGCGACGCTCGCTCTACAATCAAGAAGGCACCGCGCCATCGCCAGTCGATTGTCTAACGCTAGCACGTAGAGAGTGCTTCGTCGGTCTGCGTCAAGAGAATCGACGTCGGCACCGCGGGCGTGGAGAGAGCGGACCGTGTCGAAATGCCCTTCGAGCGCTGCTAGCCTGTAAGAGAGAGGAGATAAGGTCATTTTTAATTGAAACATATTTCAATGGGGTATTTGACACCACCCTTCAATTGACGAATTTTAAAAAACTGTCGAAACGAGACTGACGTCGCTTTTTTAAATTTACAAATAAACCAAAATTTTTTAATTTACAGTTAATTAAAAATTAATTGAGTTTTTAAGACCAGAATAAAGTGTGTGTCGTATCACCGCGATGGTAACAAAAAATATGGTCATCTGTGCTATAGGAAAACTGAACAATGAAGTCAATCTGAGGTGGAATTGTGTAAAGCAATCGTTATCATTTGACAATTTATAACGCACGATCATTCTGTCAAACGCTTTGTTTGACTGACTTTATCGTACGTTATGAACTGTCAAATTATTACGATTGCTTTACACAATTCCACCTCTGAACCGTTAAAAAATACAAGAAGAAACCACACTCCCGCGCTCTTTACAGCGAGAGGGATAAGAAAACTCATAGTATTAGTGCATTCCTATATGCCCCATTCATATTTTGTGAGGACTTGACAAACGTTCGTAGGTATTCCCGTTTCCTCCGTCATTCACTCGCTCGACCCTAGAGCCTCGCTCGCCCCTAGAGCCTCGCTCGCCCCTAGAGCCTCGGTCGCCCCTAGAGCCTCGGTCGCCCCTAGAGCCTCGCTCGCCCCTAGAGCCTCGCCCGCCCCTAGAGCCTCGCCCGCCCCTAGAGCCTCGCTCGCCCCTAGAGCCTCGCTCGCCCCTAGAGCCTCGCTCGCCCCTAGAGCCTCGCTCGCCCCTAGAGCCTCGCTCGCCCCTAGAGCCTCGCTCGCCCCTAGAGCCTCGCTCGCCCCTAGAGCCTCGCTCGCCCCTAGAGCCTCGCTCGCCCCTAGAGCCTCGCTCGCCCCTAGAGCCTCGCTCGCCCCTAGAGCCTCGCTCGCCCCTAGAGCCTCGCTCGCCCCTAGAGCCTCGCTCGCCCCTAGAGCCTCGCTCGCCCCTAGAGCCTCGCTCGCCCCTAGAGCCTCGCTCGCCCCTAGAGCCTCGCTCGCCCCTAGAGCCTCGCTCGCCCCTAGAGCCTCGCTCGCCCCTAGAGCCTCGCTCGCCCCTAGAGCCTCGCTCGCCCCTAGAGCCTCGCTCGCCCCTAGAGCCTCGCTCGCCCCTAGAGCCTCGCTCGCCCCTAGAGCCTCGCTCGCCCCTAGAGCCTCGCTCGCCCCTAGAGCCTCGCTCGCCCCTAGAGCCTCGCTCGCCCCTAGAGCCTCGCTCGCCCCTAGAGCCTCGCTCGCCCCTAGAGCCTCGCTCGCCCCTAGAGCCTCGCTCGCCCCTAGAGCCTCGCTCGCCCCTAGAGCCTCGCTCGCCCCTAGAGCCTCGCTCGCCCCTAGAGCCTCGCTCGCCCCTAGAGCCTCGCTCGCCCCTAGAGCCTCGCTCGCCCCTAGAGCCTCGCTCGCCCCTAGAGCCTCGCTCGCCCCTAGAGCCTCGCTCGCCCCTAGAGCCTCGCTCGCCCCTAGAGCCTCGCTCGCCCCTAGAGCCTCGCTCGCCCCTAGAGCCTCGCTCGCCCCTAGAGCCTCGCTCGCCCCTAGAGCCTCGCTCGCCCCTAGAGCCTCGCTCGCCCCTAGAGCCTCGCTCGCCCCTAGAGCCTCGCTCGCCCCTAGAGCCTCGCTCGCCCCTAGAGCCTCGCTCGCCCCTAGAGCCTCGCTCGCCCCTAGAGCCTCGCTCGCCCCTAGAGCCTCGCTCGCCCCTAGAGCCTCGCTCGCCCCTAGAGCCTCGCTCGCCCCTAGAGCCTCGCTCGCCCCTAGAGCCTCGCTCGCCCCTAGAGCCTCGCTCGCCCCTAGAGCCTCGCTCGCCCCTAGAGCCTCGCTCGCCCCTAGAGCCTCGCTCGCCCCTAGAGCCTCGCTCGCCCCTAGAGCCTCGCTCGCCCCTAGAGCCTCGCTCGCCCCTAGAGCCTCGCTCGCCCCTAGAGCCTCGCTCGCCCCTAGAGCCTCGCTCGCCCCTAGAGCCTCGCTCGCCCCTAGAGCCTCGCTCGCCCCTAGAGCCTCGCTCGCCCCTAGAGCCTCGCTCGCCCCTAGAGCCTCGCTCGCCCCTAGAGCCTCGCTCGCCCCTAGAGCCTCGCTCGCCCCTAGAGCCTCGCTCGCCCCTAGAGCCTCGCTCGCCCCTAGAGCCTCGCTCGCCCCTAGAGCCTCGCTCGCCCCTAGAGCCTCGCTCGCCCCTAGAGCCTCGCTCGCCCCTAGAGCCTCGCTCGCCCCTAGAGCCTCGCTCGCCCCTAGAGCCTCGCTCGCCCCTAGAGCCTCGCTCGCCCCTAGAGCCTCGCTCGCCCCTAGAGCCTCGCTCGCCCCTAGAGCCTCGCTCGCCCCTAGAGCCTCGCTCGCCCCTAGAGCCTCGCTCGCCCCTAGAGCCTCGCTCGCCCCTAGAGCCTCGCTCGCCCCTAGAGCCTCGCTCGCCCCTAGAGCCTCGCTCGCCCCTAGAGCCTCGCTCGCCCCTAGAGCCTCGCTCGCCCCTAGAGCCTCGCTCGCCCCTAGAGCCTCGCTCGCCCCTAGAGCCTCGCTCGCCCCTAGAGCCTCGCTCGCCCCTAGAGCCTCGCTCGCCCCTAGAGCCTCGCTCGCCCCTAGAGCCTCGCTCGCCCCTAGAGCCTCGCTCGCCCCTAGAGCCTCGCTCGCCCCTAGAGCCTCGCTCGCCCCTAGAGCCTCGCTCGCCCCTAGAGCCTCGCTCGCCCCTAGAGCCTCGCTCGCCCCTAGAGCCTCGCTCGCCCCTAGAGCCTCGCTCGCCCCTAGAGCCTCGCTCGCCCCTAGAGCCTCGCTCGCCCCTAGAGCCTCGCTCGCCCCTAGAGCCTCGCTCGCCCCTAGAGCCTCGCTCGCCCCTAGAGCCTCGCTCGCCCCTAGAGCCTCGCTCGCCCCTAGAGCCTCGCTCGCCCCTAGAGCCTCGCTCGCCCCTAGAGCCTCGCTCGCCCCTAGAGCCTCGCTCGCCCCTAGAGCCTCGCTCGCCCCTAGAGCCTCGCTCGCCCCTAGAGCCTCGCTCGCCCCTAGAGCCTCGCTCGCCCCTAGAGCCTCGCTCGCCCCTAGAGCCTCGCTCGCCCCTAGAGCCTCGCTCGCCCCTAGAGCCTCGCTCGCCCCTAGAGCCTCGCTCGCCCTAGCCTTCGCTCGCTGTCACGCGCCACTCACCTCAAGGCAGTCTTCCCGTCGTGCGCGTGTTGGTCGACGGGCGCCCCCCACTCGTCTATTAGAGCCTCAACAAGCCGAGTGTGTCCCTCCTGTGCTGCTAGCATCAGCGCCCCCTTGCGTCGTTGTCGGCTTCGTCTACCGAGCGAGCCCCTAGCTTAAGTGGCTTCTAGAATCTAGTTCCTGAGAGCCGACAGCGAGCCCCTAGAGCCTCGCTCGCCCCTAGAGCCTCGCTCGCCCCTAGAGCCTCGCCCGCCCCTAGAGCCTCGCTCGCCCCTAGAGCCTCGCTCGCCCCTAGAGCCTCGCTCGCCCCTAGAGCCTCGCTCGCCCCTAGAGCCTCGCTCGCCCCTAGAGCCTCGCTCGCCCTAGCCTTCGCTCGCTGTCACGCGCCACTCACCTCAAGGCAGTCTTCCCGTCGTGCGCGTGTTGGTCGACGGGCGCCCCCCACTCGTCTATTAGAGCCTCAACAAGCCGAGTGTGTCCCTCCTGTGCTGCTAGCATCAGCG